GTTCGTCGGATGCTCTTTAGTAAGCTTTCGCTTGCTTCAGAGGCATTGCAGCATCATTTCTGAGCTGACTTGAAGATCGCCCAGACACGCTATTCTAACGGCCGGGCAATCCTAATATTGGCAATCAAGGCACGGTGGCAAGAAGCCATTGATCTGAATTCTCCTGGTGCTGAGACACCAAGGGCTCAATCATCCATCATTCATTCCGACTCCAAGGAGCCAGCATCACAGGCTGTTAAGCCTCAATCCATCTTGCAGAGGGATGGAATAGCATGATGATAGAATAGTTATCAATTCGTCGCCGTCTGAACCTGCAAGACAGTTAGCATCGTGAACGTTTGTGTGCTTTCGTCAAGAAATGGCGGGAGTTTGTATTGGGGAGATGCATGGCATTCCATCTCGTCTGGTAATTCCACTCAATGGTTTTCCGATTCAATCGATTGGGGAGAGTGGATGTGTTGAATTTTGGTGAAAAGTATGATGAGTCGCTTGCAGAGGTGGTTGATTTGATGATGAGGTTCGGTTGGAGAGGTGTGAAATGCAGAAGGGGTGTAGGATTGGGGAGAGTGTGAAAGTGATGGAAGGTAAAAGAAGGAAGAGACGAGGGAAGTGAGAGAAGAGGGAAGTGGGAGAAGAGAAGAGAAGCAGTCAGGTACCTAGTAGGCAACCACGCTTACAACGTCGAGGAACACCGATTTTTGCGTCAAGTATTCTACAGCTGTGTTAGCCTCTGGTTCCAGGTTCTGTAGTACCTTTGTCAAGTCAAGTTTACTGTAGAGGATGCATTTCTTCAGTGAAGCAGATATCTAGTAGGCATAGTAGATATAATAGGTACTCTAACAGAAATCAAGAGGTTCAAATAATTACTATGTATACTTTCATCAGCAATGCCAGGGGTTTGGGTAACAGCAGAAATCTAGAGCAATACGAGCAACATGAGGAAGTATTAGCAACCATCTACTCTATCGTGGAAAACAAAATACAGGTACTTGGCACCACCTGATCTAGAGGTACCCAGCAGCTATAAGAATGGAAGTCGCAGCCCATGGATATGAAGTGATTTGGTCACAAATCCAAGTGGATACTCTCACCTTCCGTTGTGAATTCTTTCTTTGCAATTCTTCCCTCTTCCATTTCCCCTCCCTCTCTCTTCTCCAACCTCACACCAAAGTCAAACTTGATCATGACAATGCTACAAAGTGAGCCCCATCCCACCCAAGTCGTTGCTTTCCAGCCTAACCTTTCTTCGTCTTTCTCCCCCAAGGATGAACAACAAGATGCAGGTCTCGTCCCTTCCAACGAGACAGTCAGCTCCCAGAGGGTTTCAGACCTGATCAAGAGGCAGATGAGCCAAGGGGTCTAAAAGACCAACACCGACCGTGATCCATGTGCAGAAGATGGGGTGCAGATCTGTGGCCCACCACCACCGAGTCCATCGTTGGCCAAGAGACCAGAGAGACTGAAAAGCTCCGGGCCGGGGGGGGGGGGCTAAGAAGAGAAAGCCCCGTCGTTGTCAGTGTGGGGCAAATGGGGCCACAGACCAGACCAGTGCTGGAGCAAACCCAGCAGTATCACCTGTAAGTATCATCCCATCTTCAAACAAGCTGCTTTGCCGTCTATACTAACTTCTAATAGCTACGGTGACTTTCAATGGCCAGTCGGTCTATCATGTCTACCAGGTAAGTCTTTATTCATCCCATCTTTAACATGTTGGCATCCTAATCATGACATTCACAGGGGCCAATGACCAGGCCCTCCGGGGTACAGAAGCCCCGGCCGAAGAAGAAAGGGGGGCAAAGGCCAGAAGAAGGGAAAGGAGAACATGCCCGAGGGGCGAAGGCCTAGGAGAGATGGAGAAATGCACGAATATGGCCAGTTTTATCTTTGAGTTCCTTTGCAGTATAGTGACCATGACACTAATATTTATTCTTCGCCCTCACAAGCCAAAAGCATTTCAAATGATTACTTGCTTGCTTCTGCATCGATAGAGTAGAGGTAGAAGTCTTCAAACTCGATGCGTACTCTAGAGACTTTGGGCATGTGATCATCACCATCGTACCTGTAAAATAGCACAATTACTGTAGATTCCTCATGTTTCTCTATATTTCTGTCGTTACTCTGAATTACTCTTGTTGCCTAAGATTCTCGTCATTACCCTAGATTACTGTCGTTACTCAATATTTCTCACATTACCGTGTGTTTCTTACTTAAGATACGTGGTATGAGGAAAAGCTTGTTCTAGCAATGCCTACACCCCAATAGGTTCAATCTCGTCTTTACTTCTACCTTTCGAGAAATGATTTACAATTCAATCACAAAAATGAACAATTTGTGAATATCACAACCTTCCTACGTCCATTTAACAACGACAGTATATCTCACACAAGCCCATGACTTCCGTATTCATTTTACCCTTTGTCTGGGAGGAGAGAAAAAGAGGGAGTGCACATCCATATCATACCAAACCCATAATTAAGAATAAAGCATCTCCAAAATGAAAAAACTGATCGACTCCACTGATCACATTCCGATTTACTTGTGGGTATGATGCCTTGCTCGATCCCCCTCTTCACCTGTCCCAACCAGAACGCATTCCAGGAATCTCGAGACAGACGACGAACAAGATTCATTAACCTTTATAGTTGTCAATTCTACTCCCTTTTTATCACAATGGTAAAAAAAATGCGTCCATTCTTACCTTCTTCAAGCCCACTAGTACTTCATCGGCGGCTCCCAAGACCAGTCCTCCTGAACAGTCTGGAGAATAGAGCCAGCCTGGGGCCAATGAGGCCAATGACCTCGCGGAGGGAAGGTTAATCTCTCTTGACTAAATCGACATTAGAGTGGTCAAAATAACCAACGAGATTCCAGATACATCTGACGACTCCACGAGGTTGTCCGAGCAATGGCAAAGCTCTTTGGAGTCGAGACTTCGGTGTCAAAATACGTGGATCCCTGCTGTCCCTTATGATCTGAGGAAGAGATATTCTAAATTCTTCATTCTTTATCGACACAAATTATGAGCCAACAGAATCCAGCACCCGTTGTCGCCGTCTCCGTCGCCGACAGGGGCAGAATCGATGGAGATATGTATTGCCTAGTTGCGAGGTAAGGCAGAACCAGTGCTCCGCCCTTGGGCACATCTCTGGCGACGTTTAGAGTTCAAGGGATTACTTCATCGTCAGATCCGCAGCAAGCAAGTGTAATCTCATGTGGCTTTATTCAGCACCTGGGCCGCTAACTACGATATGTCCTCATGGAATGGACTCTCGAAGTGATCTCTTCGGGCCCAAACGGTGTGTGAATATCATGTTGCCCTTACGACATCAGCTTACGAACTTGAAGCAAAAAGCTGGATATTCAGGGACATCCGAACTATCTACATGACCCTTATCAGAACCGAAGACCCTAAGTGTCTAAAGGTTGCATTAGTTCCTAGTCGGAAGATGTTGTGCACCCATCGGAAAGAGATCCGGCAAGTCATGCGCCGACTTCTCCGAAAATTTGCAAGTCAAGGATCGGTGTCCCATGAAGCGCCCATGTTCGTTGTGGCAACCTGTAGTGAAGCTCGTGTATGGAAATAACGAGCAAGAACATGACGCAACGGGGAGGATGGGGAGTAACGGGTGGGATGTTGTGCGCTCTGATTGCCATTCGAGCATCTTGGTAACAACCCTTGGTGAGAGTGTTGAAGGTTGTCTGCGCTCAATTCCTGGTCATCCCTACAATCTCGTCGAAGAAACACAAAGCCCATAGTAAATACTGATCCATGCCGCTAAGAATACTGCAAAGGGCAACCAAAACACTTTCTCAAATATATTCTCTCATATATTTCCTGATCAACAGCAACATATAAACCGGTACTCTCTTCTATGATGATCAAACCAATGCAAGTGAAGTCAATAATACAACGCCGAAAAGGGATAGATGTCAAACAAAGAGCTTATTACCATTATATACACATGTCAAATATTAGCTATCAAACAACAGTGACTAACGTCTTTTTGAAGAAGTTAACCTAGCAGTTATGCTTCTTCTCATGTCAGCGCCCTCGTTAGGTTGCGGATGCTCTCTGATGCATACAGCTAAACGGTCTTAGTCGGTCGCCCCCTCGCAAAATCGACGCAAATACCATCCAACCGGAGACATTTACCTCTACTAGTTGCGGGCACATGTGATTGAGGTGAATTTTGTCATGATGTGGGAGGGGTGGCTCCATGATATGGTCGATGAAATGGCGAAGCGTCGCCCATTGCACAAGCAGGCAATGATTCTACGCATGTCAGTACCAATCGATACAGCCCCGCATTGTCAACATCCATGGATTGTGTGTATCATTCCTTCTGCTGTCTGTTTTTACAAGCAACTCCAGAATGATTTGATATAACTTACTTGGATGTAGATATTAACCACTCGGACACTCTGTCGTTGTCTCATTCGATGTGAATCGGTATATATATGTACTGGAGTTTACCAGGTGAATCTTAACAGATTAGAAGGACGAGTTTGTACGTGAGATATTAATCCAAATATAATCCGGAGTGTTTACCCGACCATCTTCTCTGTGTTTCATTAGATCACCCACGTAATAGATCCCCTGTTTATATATTCCCCCAAACCCAAGCGGCACTATTAAAGAATCTCACTTGTGTTTACTTTGCAACCCATAATTGGGCGATCGTAATATATCGACTATGACTTTCCAACATATGATGAAAACGAAATCAGTCTAGCCCTCAGTCGGTTTCATTGGGTATATCCAGCTGAAATAGTTGGAGATGCGAGAAGATTATGGATGAAACAATGAGTACAGTTGTGTGTCTTATGATTAGTCATTATTGACTAATGATATACACCTTACGATTTGGGCTAGCGTGTGCGGGTAATAGCGAGGTGGGGCGCCTGACCCACCCCAAAAGCGTACCCCGAAATGAATGATTCCCAGCCACCAACATACATAAAATGAATTGCTTGGGCCGATTCACATCGAATGAAACAACGACAGAGTGTCCGAGTGGTTATGGAGTTTGACTTGAAGCAGAAGGAGCGTCTAACGCACCTTCAAACGCTCGATATCAAATACGTTCGCGTTCGCAGGTTCGAATCCTGTCTCTGTCGATCATTTTTTGTCCTGAAGCTTCCTTTTTGTGCTTCTTAGCGGAGAGAGTTACAAGTGTTAATGCCCTCAGTGGGGCCTTGTTCATAGGTAAGCCCGGTTGGTAGCAAGTGCCTCTATGCCCTTTTGTTCCTTCGTCGTAGACACACGTTGCGCTTCATGAAAACCAGAGATGGGTGGACCGCAAGGCAACGACAGTTGGTTGGCGTCTGTACTACCATCATAGACTCCTTGAGTAAGTCCGTGAAAGGTTCCTCTTGAAGTTAGCAGAGATCACCAGAACCTTGACAAGTCATATGTAGTCATTCGTCGCCATTTCACTTGCAGATTGTGATGAGTCTCTGTCGGATTTGTCTCTTGCATAGGCTACGCTTACAATTAAGCTTCCCATGAGGTTCTCCGGAGTTTCTTACACTACCTACGGTAGGTATCTCTGAGCGGGACACTGTAGTTGAGATGTTAGGTCGCTTCGTTATGCGTTCAAACGGGCAAGTTAACTGTGCCAATTAGTCACACATGATTTTATATAAATAAATTTCTCTTAAATTGAATCGTCTCTATATCTCAGCTCCGAATTTACTTACACCGAGTATTCATTTTACATATGCTTCAAGAGGCTCTTCGATGCAACATGTGGGGTCGTTGGGAAGTGCAGACGGCCAACCCGCCAATCGGCACCCGATAAGATTATGGTGGGGCGATAAGCTTATCGGGCCCAAATTTTTTTGCGCGACAGAAAGAAGCTTCTTACCCAGAAAGTCCCAGATACAGCTTCAACTTTACGTCTTCAACAAAAAACGTAAAAAATGGCTCCAAACAGAACAAAAACGATCAAAAACAAACATGCGGCGCCCAAAGGAGGTGCCGGCCCATCTGGGAAAGGCGGTGGGAAAGGCGGCGGCAAGCGATCTGACACCGAGGGGATCTCAAAGTCGAAGAAGCCAAAGGGTCCCGCGGTTTCGCAGCAAGTAAAGGAAAAGAATCGCGCTGCGCTGCTCAAGAAGCCCAAGAGGAAGGTTTACACCGAGGCGGAGCTTGGTATCCCTACCTTGAACATGATCACCCCCGTCGGAGTCATCAAGCCCAAGGGACAGAAGAAGGGCAAGGTTTTCGTCGACGACAAGGTTCGTAAACAAATTTGCGCCTGGGCTAGGAATACGTTTGCTAATAATTGAGGCAGGAGAGCATGACCACTATTCTTTCGCTTGTCCAGGCCGAAAAGGAAGGCCACATTGAATCCAAGATGATCAAGGCCCGACAGATGGAGGAGATCCGTGAGGCGAGAAAGGTAGAGGCCGAGAAGAAGGCGGAGGAGAGGAAGACCAAGCTAGAGGATACGAAAGAGTCCCTGAGGAGAAAGCGCAAGCGCAGGGGCGGTGGCGATGACGACAACCTCAAAAAAATATCGTCGGCCGGGACCAAGGCGGGCAAGTCAAGAAAGAGGGTGGCTTTCGCGTGAGGGATGGGATCGTTTGCTTTGCATTGTTAGGCGCTCGGAGTTGGGACATAATTCAATACTATGGGGATGTTCCGGGTACATTTCAAGCAGTTCAATTGAATGTTCAATTCATATGTCCTTTTGAAGCTGTGTCTATCGCTTCTATTCTACAAATGACCGTATGTCCATCTATCAGATCTATATCCATCTATCTTACCGTCCACAAACTTCTATCGCGGAATGTTCATCTTTCGTCGCATAGGGTTATACTCGGTATTGCGGAAGAATGTGGGACCCTTTGGGTAAGCCAGGGGCGTGATGCTGTCAAGGTCAACCTTGTGTGCAAAGTAGTTGAAGAAGTTGCAAATCTGTTAGAGTCAGCGGTAGTCTTGGAATCGCATCGGGTAATCATACCGGACGAGTATGCCATCGAGTTCCACCAAGCTCAAACCAACACAGGTGGCCTCCCAAGGAGGTTGTGATGAGAATAGTGTTGGGATTCTGTTGAAACTCTTGATAGGGAATTGCTTCCTTGACGGCAATCTATACGACTATTAGACGTAGCTTTGGCAGACGGACATTGTGCTTCTCATACCGGATCATCCGTGGCAGAGAGAGCCATGAAGGGTATATTGATATTTAGAACTGCATCTGTTGAAGAAGCATCACGGTAGTACGCAGTCTCGGTAGGGTATCCCCAGGTTGGGCATCTGTCGATGATGAGCTTCGTTCAACCCCCTATACATAGAAGCACTTACTGAACCTCTCTGTCAAACTCGAACAGATAGGTAATCTTATCTATAGAGTCCAGATCAAGGTTGGTAAACTGTTTCAGCTCCTTCCGGTGCGTTTCAACCAACTGCTTCATAGACACTATACAAGTTAGTATCAGCCAGGCAGCCACGAATAAAACGACTTACTGCCCATGGCACGCAGGTAAACTTCCTTGCCAATGAGGCTATTTCCGAGCACCTTACTGCTAACCTCCAAGTTAAATGGGTTTGAGCAGGCAATGGCTGCCTTGAGGAGGCAATCGGAGCCTTCTTCACCACAGTACTGCGAATGTTAACAGATGCCATGATAAAAGAGAAGAAAACATACGTTTGTCAGAATATTGGCGCCCAGGGAAAACCCGAGGCCAAAGAGCGGTCGATTTGGAAATGTCTTGGTCAGCCATTTCACTGTCTGCCGAATGTCCCAAGTGGCTCGAGCATTATACAAGACGCCGGTAGTAATCTTAGACTGGGCACAGCCTCGAGAATTGACGACACAAAGCTCCCATCGCTTGTCTGCTACCAAAGGCGCAATTGCGTGTCTCAAATAGACCTCGTGAGAGCCGCCAGACAGGCCATGCAAAACGACGAGCATGGGCTTGCTGTCGTCCGAGCCAATGTTGGCAAACTGCTCCTCCGAGTAGTAGACGGTCCGGTGAGGTAAGGTATCATCGGTCTCTTTGTGGGGATCTACCACAAAGTCGACAGCAAACGTTCCTGCATACTCTTCGTGGTCCGACTCAAAGATCTTGCGACGATAGTGAATCGGAGGTCCATGAGGGTTGGTGGCTGTCCAGAAGGTCTGCATATGGCCATTGAATAACAGAGGATTCAGATTGCACGGCGGTGTGGTCGTCTCGCAAATCTTGAGCAGATCCGTCTCGCTTCCATCTTTTTCCTTGATCGTCCTAGGCGCCGGGGCATGGACAAAGTCAATCTTTGCTCTCCCAAACCACTCCATGGTGCTTGCTTGCTTGCTTGCTTGCAATGAGGCTATTCAGATGACTAAGATCAAAGTCAGACTACTACTTGTAGGTACGTAGGCAAGATAAGTACTAGGTAGTAAAGATAAGGTAGCAGGAACAGGTGCAGAAGAAATGAGTGTGGTTTATTACTGGTAATCTTCTATTTACGACCGTCAAAAGGTTGCACGAGGCAAGACCATGATCCGGATTACGTTGGAAATTTAGATTACAAAATTGCAGACCTCGGCAGTGTTGGCGGGCATGTCTCTCCTCCTCTTGGCCTTAAATTAGGTGATATCGGTTGGTAAATGATGGTGTCTGAATGATGTAATCTATCAAGGCCATAGGATTTGTTGGATAAGGACTACGAATGACAAATTATATATTTCCTCTAATAACAAACAACGCACTTCAGATCTTCAAGCCTGTGACAAGCGATATATTAATTAGCGACATTCAGATCTAGGGTGTTCACCGTTGGGTGTGTGCCGAGGCTTCAGAGCTACCGGATTAAACCATCCCCGGCTTCCGAGTACGTAATTAGACAGTTACACGTGACTTGGCGCATCTGTCATTGTGTGTTCCACGCAATCTCAATCTTTGCGCCTGACCTGTAAAGCATCATCATGCCACAACCCTCTCCAACCCTTGAGACTATACGACAACAGTGGCCATTGTTTGAGGAATTTTGAGAATGACTGCCGCCTTGAACAGCTAGAGCTGCTGCAGGCATGGCATAGTGCAGACGACTGACTCTGCGAGAGCGGTCACAAACTATGGGCTTGGCCTTTTTTTTCCCCGTTGGAGTTTGATCCACCCATTGAGCCAGATATGATAGCGCCCCGCTCACCTCATGGATATATTCGGAATCCCTCTTTGATGGTTTGGCACGTCTGGATGGACGGCTTTGATGTCCAAATGGCGCATGTTAGAACGGCAAACCAGGACTGGGCGTAAGACCTACCTACCCACTCTGATCTTTTGGGGCCACTCTGCAGGCTGCAGGCTCCCTCACCAGTCCTGAGAATACCCATGGCCAAATCACTGCTGGTAAATCTTGTGGAGAATACCGTCCTTTCAAGGACGATGCAACAACCAAAATCCTAGCAAGGCACGACACTTGAAGTCTCTCGACATTGTTTTGACCTATTCTGAACAAAAAACAACAGTCCATTATGAGCAGCCTTCTCTCGCCAACTGCCCCTAGCACATGGCCGCGTTATTGCAAACACCTCGTCATTCAACCACGTTTATGGCGCGTGAGGAATTGGCCATATTTTTCCCCTTCAAAAAGGAACTTCACGCGACGGGTCATGGGTTTTGTATTCATCGACCAAGTGTTGCGTGGGCTGTACATCAACGTACTGATGGATTTTTACGGTTTGACAGAATGCATTCGCATTCATACTAGGGAGGAAAGGTCAAAGGTAGGGTCTCGTAAATATCCGCAAGGATTCGTATATAATGCTTTTGACGATTGGGTCTGCTGGCCTTGGCTGGGACATGCATCGACAAGGTCCAGGCAACCGCCTTGATTTTATTTCCTCGCCTTCCTCCTGAGACTGAAATGCAAGGAAGTGCCTGAGGACTGGAGATACGTCAAACTCCTGCAAGTGCAAACGCGAGAGGGTGATTTTTGGACCGGACTGGACTGGATTGGATTGGAGGAGGGGCTTGTTCAGAGCACTCGTCAGGTGAACTCGGCTCGGGCTTTGGTAGCTGTGATGTGCACTGCATCTCACCTCTCTACCAACCCCCAGCCACAGGCGTGAACAGACAGAAAAACCCTTTTCGAGTCCTGCTTCACGACACGACTGCACCCATCC